ATATATATATATATATATATATATATATATTGTGCTCATTCCCTTAAAACAATGATGTTAAGATCTCCTTCTCATAATTTGCCCTAAAGTATTTTGGTTAGAAAGTTAAGATTTACATTTCCAAATCAATATAAAAAGATACTTTAATTTATATATATACGAGGACACTTAAGAAAATAAATGTCTAATGATTTAACAATAGGTTATTCTAGGCAATTTTTAATATCAAGCAATCACTCCTGCTTATAAAGTAAATGCACTTATTTATTTACAAAATAGAAATACATGCTAGAATTTTTTAATATCATCTACTAAATAAGATCAATATTTTATACATCCTATTACATAAAACATAAATATTATAGTTTTGTAGATATCTTATTGTTTTACTTATGTAATAATATTTTAAAAGGACCTAATCTGAATATACATATATATATATATATATATCTTTCATTATATTAATTTTTTTAAAATATATAACTAAAATTAAACATATCCATCATATGCTCGAGCATAGAATTTGTCATTAATTGAGAGAAAAGGCGTATGTTATCATTTTGTTAATCTATTTATGAGTGAAAGCTATTTTACAATATTTCATTGGAATATTTACATATATACCACTTAATTCCTAAGTATTTACATATGTAATACCTAAGTATCCTTCTCTACATATAACACTTTTTTCCAGGTCAAAATAGACATTTTTTTATGTGCCATGAAAGACTTGTGTGGTATAAATACAAAAAAAAAATAAAATTTAAGTACTAAATATTTAAATACATAAAAATCGAGTGGTATCTATATAAATGCCCCATTGTTAATTTGTATAAAGTAATACAACTCACAATGAGAGAACATACGTGAGAACATCCGCCGTGCGAATTAGTGGTGTACACCCCGAATACACTCATCACCAAGTATTTTTTTTTTCTACAAGCAGTGAGTTATATATGGTTCAGGTGCCTAGATATGTAAATACATAGGAGTGGGGTCGCATGTATGTAAAATTTCATTAAAACTAATAATCTGGAAGAAAATAGAGTTCTCTAGTAACACAAATAACACAATATCATAAAGCCATTCGAAATCGAGGGGGTGGGCGAAGTATAGGTGGTTGAACTTCACCTGGCTGGCCAAGTTGCCCGCAAGCAGCCATCCGATCATCCCCTCTGCTCAGCCTCAGGAAAACAACACAGCCAGCCTCAGCCAAGACATTGCGGAACTCGATCATCTTATCGTCACTCGTGGGTTTGAACAAAGATCCGCAGTGAGGATTGAAAGATATGAGGTTGATCTTACAAGGGATGTCGCGAACAAGTTCGACGAGCCTCCTTGCATCCTCGATACTGTTGCATGAGAAAGATAATATCAAACAATTAGGACAAATACAAAGATAAGCAAATGCAATTCGAAACGTAGACGATCTCTTTCAATTCCTACCAAAGATACAAGACGCAATCTCATGCATAACCCTAACCCTAAACATATTAGCCCTATTTATACTAAACGATAATGAATGACAAAAAGCTAAATTACACTTAGATGCAGAAAAGACAAAATTTCCCTTAGACTAGGCACAGACGTAGCAAAATCATGTTTCATGCACAATTATTTCCAAGATTCTGTTAAGCAGTACAACCGAGAGCATACTATAAACTGTTAGAACATAATGGGGCATTTACATACTACCACCAAATTCATATGTATTAACATATCTAGCATCAAAACTTTATTTTTTACATTTGCCACCCAAATCTTTCAAATCACATAATAAATACAACTATTTCAGCTTTTAAGAAGTGAAATACAACTTTTCATGCATAGATAAAAATTGAAGTTTGAGTGATGGATATGTAAATACATAAGAATTCAGGGGTATGTATGTAAACCTTCCAAACATAATTAAGACTAAAACATGCAATCATAATTCTGAACCATGCAAAGGATAATTGATATAATTAGTAAAAATAAGCAGCCAGTAATTGAAGTAATGATCCATGAATTTCTCTAATGATTTATCATTAACTGTAGAGAGAGCCTTTCAAATAAGATGAATGATCATTTTGATGGCACTAGAAATGAGTCCAACCTGTCATTCACTCCCTCAAGCATGACATACTCGAATAAAACTTTGTATTTATGTTTGAAGCGGATCTCCTCTCTTAAAGTCTCGAGAAGTAGGCTAAGATTATATTTACGATTAATAGGCATTACCCAATTCCGAACCTGCAAATCAATAAACTATTTAGCTGAAAACCTTATTGTATAAGCTGATGCGTGGGGGGTGCATTTACATAAATATCACACTTCTTTGGTATTTACATATTTAACACCTCCACTGAGTTTTACATTTATAACACTCAAAATTTTCATGTGACATCAAAATACCAATTTTCATATGTAAATAGATAAAAATTGTGTGGTATAAATTGTATAAGCTGATGCGTGGGGGATGCATTTACATAAATATCACACTTATTTGGTATTTATATATTTAACACCTCCACTTTGAGTTTTACATTTATAACACTCAAAATTTTCATATGACATCAAAATACCACTTTTCATATGTAAATAGATAAAAATTGTGTGGTATATATGTAAATCTTCCAAAAAGCAAAAGTCAGCATACCTCATCAGTTGTTGCATTGAGACTAACAGCTAACGCACAGTTAGACTCTTTGAGAAAGCGTTTCAACTGAGGAACAAGTCCACTGGTTGAAACAGTTACCTTACGAGGACTAAAATGAAGACCTTGCTCATCAACCATAATAGCTGCCGCTTTAATAACATTATCTATGTTATGAAAAGGTTCACCCATTCCCTATACCAATAAATGAAAAAGATACGAAGTTACAGAATGGAAAATATTTTTTCATGCAAAACTGACAGTTTTCTTTGTGAAAAATGAAAATAGAAAAGTATATAATATAACTAGAAACTGGTCTACAGAGGCCCCATCCAGAAATGCCAAAACATGCAAAATAAAAGAAGAATACTCACCATGAATACAACATTTGTAATAGATCCAAACTTAGCTGAAAATAACCTTCGTGCAAAAACAGCTTGTTCAACTATTTCAGCTGTTGTCAAATGCCTTTTCAAACCCATCCTAAACAATATCATTTTTACAGATTAGCACTTGCTTAGGATGAGCAAACCAAGAATTAATGCCTGAAAGGCATAAGCTGCAGCGCTACAACAAAAGAATTACCTTCCAGTATAGCAGAATTGGCAATTCATTGCACAGCCAACTTGACTTGAAACACAAACAGTGGTCCTTCCCCTGCTGCAAGGAATCACTACCGTTTCTATCGCCAATCCATCATCCAAAGTGAACAATATCTGCAACCTCCTGCAATTTCAATGATTAATTAAATGTCCTGAGAACATTGCTGCACTGGACATAATATTTCCAATCCACATGGCCACAGAAATATTAAAAACAAACGTGCAATAACATTAAGGATGAAAAGATGAGAAAGGTACCTTGTGAGTTCCGTCCGATGCTGTAAGAACATCTTTCACTGATAATGGCGTCATATCAGCATTCTCAATCAACATCCTTTTAAAATCTTTATTTAAACCTGCATTGATGGCTATAATAGATTCCATGTCTTCGAGAGAAAATATTACTCGAGTCAATGGAGACATATGAAGTAGAAAGATGCCATCTCCATCAGTGGTTAAATGTACAAAAGATGGAAATAAATGATTTTTTAGTGTGCAGAATTCAAACGGGTATAACAAATTGTTCAAATTGCATGTCACAGTTCTACTGATGAATATCTTTACTAAGAAATTTAGAGAATACAACAGCTATTTTATCAAGAGAATAACATTTATGCAGACCTGTTAGTTCATCGTGACATTGTGCCCAGCCACTGTGCCCATAGAGGCACTTCCACAGCATAAGTGCCTGGGCTGGCCTAAACCCATTTGATTGGACCCATTTCTGTTCAATAATGCAATCTCATGTTAGTATAAATCATATTTACTTGGAACAGAGCAAAATTGAAGTATTTACTATTGGCATGAAAGAACAAAAAACCACAGTTAACCAAAAGTACAACACTGATTAAATGCATTGCATGGCCTGCGCATGACCCAAATTTACGAACTCTACCATATATTCTTCCTATTTGCTTTCCAGTCTTTTGCCACTGGCTATTTCAGTTGTGTAGCCTGGCAATCATTTTGAAATGCCATCTATCATGGCAACTTTGCTTTGCTGAAGCATGTAGTAAATCACCTCTAAATTGAATCTAAATTCAATTGTTTCGACTGTTCACTTTCAATCATTGGCATGTAGTAAATCACCTCTAAATTGAATGCATATTCCGTTTCAGTTGGCCATTAGAATCTAAATTCATTGCCAACTATAAGGGCAAAAAGCTAATCATGCCATAGCACGGAAACAGAAAAGTTGACGCCAACGTTAAATGCAACTGCTTTGATCCCTTATTTTGATGCTTCCTATCGAGTGCTACA